CTACTTAATAATAATAATAATAATAAAATTATGGATAACAATTAACTTCAGTGGACAAATTGCTCAACTTCAGAGGACTCACTCCAGGCTTCCACCCCCACTAGCTGGTAAAAGAATTCAAATTTTCTCATGCAAGAAAGGAGGGAAGAGCAGGACGGAGATTTTTGCAGCACAAGGCAGCCACAGCTTCCATGGACCAAGGCCAATAGGAGTCAGGAGTCCAAAATGTGTGACACAAGGGATGCTGCCATTTCCTGATTCAAAACCCATGGGAGGGCAGTGATGGAAAAGCTGTTTTTCCCTTTGGATGAATTCCTTCCTGGAGTCCAGCAGGCAACACAGTGTCACAGCATTATATTGCATCAACAAGTACATCAAACAAGTACTGCTGTGCTTCTGGACTGTAAGCAGCTCAGAGACCTCTTTTTATACTCCAATAAGCATATAGCAATAGCGAGTCAGGAGAGGGGGGTATGTATATACAGGGATGTATTTGATAGCCGTGTTGGTCTGAGACAAGCAAATGCAAAACTCTAGAACTCTTGCTTCAGAGATGATACCTTTTAAGATACTTTTCATCTTTTCTGAACCAACAGTTCACAGTTTTGCATTCTTCTATGTGTGTGTGTATATATACAAACAAACACACACAATACATATATGTACAGTAGGGGTGTGCAAAGTGGGCCCTATTCAATTCGAATTCAGATTTGGCCTGAATCAGGGACAGTGATTCGATTTGTTGACTCGGATCAACGTCCTTGATTCAATTCGGCCGAATCTGAATCTGAAGATTCAATTCCGATTCAGAGAATCAGCGATTTGGACATAGACACAGCTTTAAAAGTTTTTTCTACATACCTTGAGGTAGCAGGCATGGCTCTTGATCGCTGCGATGCTGGAGTGCATGGAGCATCTCACAGCAGTGTGGGGGACCCTCCACGTGCTCAGCAGTGAACCCGGAAGTGGACCAGAAGTACGCAGGGATGCAGAGGGGCCACCCCAGCTTACTCCCCGGCAGACCCAAAAGTGCTTCTGGTCCACTTCTGGGTCTGCTGCTGAGCATGCTGGGGAGCCCCCCGTGCTTCTGCGGGACACTCCATGTGCCCCAGCATCGCTACCTGCTACCCAGAGGTATGTAGAAAAAACATTTAAAGCTGTGTCTATGTCCGAATTGCCAAATCTTTCTGAATCTCTCTGAATCAATTCGGAGGGTTCCGATTTGATTTGGAGAAATTAAAGGGTCCTCTGATTTGATTCAGAGATTGGCCACCCGATTGGGCCATATCTGCCAAATCGAATCAGGAACCAAAGCTTCGCACAGCCCTAATGTATAGCATATTTCATCATTAAACAAACAGTAATTAATCATCATAATGTCCTTGTCAGGTAAGTATATGGATAGTATTATTTCCATTTTACACATGGAAAAAACATCACAGCAAGAAATTAAGTAACTTGCTCAAGTTAACTTAATTGAAGTCACGGTAGGGATAAACTTGGGACATGTTTTTATCAGGAGCATCACAGCTCTCCTAGTAAAAAAAGCATGAGCATATAGGTGGGCACACTTGCTCTTGGAAAAAAAAGGCAGTTTCTGGAGAAAAATAACCTCTCTCTAACATGGTAGAGGTCGCTCTCCAGACAGTCTCTGGAAAATAACAACAGCAGAAATTCAGGTGTCATCTCTTACATCCCTTTGAAATAAATTTATAATCTAAGTTTATAAATATAACATATAATCATATCATTTTAAATCAGCCCCTACTATTTTGCTATTCAGTGCTAGTTTTCTGTGATGTTAATATCCAATAACAGATGTTACTATGATAAACTTTAAATAAGTGATTTACTAGGATTTCAATTCACCAAAATATTCAAAACACATGTAATTGTAAGATCATGCCTCTTGAAATCAAGTGTTATTATTTAGATTTACTTGAGCTTAAATTTAGGAATGTTCTTAAGTTTGAAGTTGGTGATGACTGGCATTGAAATGCAAGGAGTGGAAGATTATTGTGGCCAAAAGGAGTTATGAAAGTGCAGGCTATTGTGAACAACCAGTGACCAATAAAACAAGACACAGTGAAACAAGGTAGAGGTAGAGATGAAAGAACTGTGATACATTTATTCATAAACATTGAGGAGGGTTCATACACTTTTGCTGACATGATCACACGTTAATGTTATAGGAACACATACAACAAATTCATTGGTTTAGCATCTTCAGCCTGATTTTCATTTACATTATAGCCCCTTTACACCACTAAGTATAACCAAAACTCTTAAGTGGTTCCTTGACACTTCCGAAGCATGTAAAAGAGATTCAGGACCTCTTTTACTCATACCTATACTATTCTATGATTTATTCCATGTAAACTACTTTACCAAAGTCTGAAAAAAAATCTAAATTGCTGCTCAAAAAACCATCTCCTTTAAACCTAGAACATTCTTAATCTTTTCAGTCACTTCATTGGTTACCTCCCATGAAATACTTCCCTAATCTTTTTGTTTTGCAAAAATTGCAAAAAGAAGCCATTTGAGGTTAATAGTAAAAGAATGGTATTTGAAGATTAATTAGCAAAGGCACCACTTTGCTTCATGTAAATAAAAGTAGTAAATACACCAGTGAAGTGAGTGGAAAGGCCAAGACCCTCTACTATGCATAAAATAATTTGCACACATGGATTATGTCAGTGTTTATTATTTAATCTCTCCTCTATTCTTTTGCTTTCTACTCTTAAATTCACACTTTCTTTTTCTTAGCTTCTGTAATGTGCTCAGGGTAAGGTATGGTACCTTCTTCTTCAGGTATGAATACACTTACAGTGAAATCACTTGTCTCTGTGCCATATTTATTTTTCACCAGAAGGGCATATTTTCCAGAGTCGACTGTGCTGACAGCAGTAATGGTGAAACTGGCACATTTTCCAGATTCATATTTCAGGATGCAATGGTCATCTGCTGTGAATGTTCTCTCGTTCTTCAGCCATGTGATCTCTGGGGCGGGATCTCCCCAGACATTACAAGTAAGATTAAGCGCCTGTAGCAAATGTACAAAAGGATTATTGTTAACAGATACTTGTTTACATCCATGTTGACAAATAATTCCCAGAAAGTCCCTTCTTTGCTGCTTCCTATTAAAAAATGGATGCAAGGATCCAAGATCAGTAATGTTTTGCTGTAGCCTGATGTGTTACCAAGGAAAAGAAACATTAAAAAAATTTAAACCCTTCAGTATTTCACAGATCTTTGTCATTTCTTTCATGATCATTACTATTGCTCTCTCTCTCTCTCTCTCTCACTGTTGTTTAATACATGTTTAGGCATTAATAGCATTTGAACATTAGGCCTTAAGCAAGAGTTTGAAAACTGTCAAATGGATTTATTTGCATGATGTCTGTGATGAACATGCTGCAGGAATATTGAGGCAAATCTATCATAATGATCTAAATAATGATTAAGCATTAAAACACTTAAATTTATTTGTTTGCTTTAAGAACTCTCTGAGCTACCTCCTGACAGCCTCATTTACACAGTGCGTTAAGCTATTTTACAGACACAATTAGGGTATAGAATTCAACTGCTAAAATTTTTATCTCAAATCAATAGTTTTCAGAACCATTTTTTGCTTTGCAGTGCTCATACATCTATTTACCTTTGAAGTGAACAGAAGTTATGCACGCATAAGGGATGAATCCATCCCTTATTAAAACATAGAATCTTAATTATCAAAGAACCATTTATTACGATTACCTTGACAGTTGAAGAGCCATTGCACACTGGCAAATATGTGATTGGCACTAAGCATCAGAACTACTTCAACCAGTGGCGACACGTAGGGGGTGCATGTGCACCCCCTGAGAGTGCAGGTGCACTCCCTGACAGGCTGCGCTGCCCGCTTAGGCAATGGGCAGGGGGGGCAGGCGGGAGTGCCGGTGCCCCCACTGCGAGTGCTGGCTACGGAATGGGAGCTCTGGATGAAGTGCTGCGGCCACTTCCTGGTCAGCACAATCAGTTCCAGGGCGACCCCCCCACTCCACCTCCCTGGTCAGTGAGATTGGCTGCAGGGGGGGCATATGCCCTCTGACTAAGGTGGCACCAATCACCCATGCCTTTAATGCTTCTCTCTCTTTCAATACCAACCCCAAAATACACACACAGAAGATTGCCAGACATTAAATATTGCCTTCACCACGCAGGCTGAATTTGACCCTTAAGTATTAAGGAATTCTAATATTATAAAAGCCTAAGTCTGTCTGTCTGTAACACTTTATTTGCGCTCTGATTGGCTGACAGAAACAGACAATCAGCATGAAGAAGCATTCTGACAGAAGGCAGCCTGTCACCATGATGGTGGGGACCCAGGGGACATGGGGGCTGGCCTCATCCCCTCCTTGCTCCCTGGAGGTGGTGGCAACAGAGTAGACAGAAGGAGTGGGCAAGGCCAGCGGGGCTAGCCTTGCCCCCCACTGCCCTGCTCCCTGCAGGTAATGGGGGGGGTGGGGGGGAGCGGACCTAAGCAGGGAAAAAGCCAACCCTCCATGGCAGGGGTTGGGGAACAGTGGGCCTGACCCAACGTAGCTGCAGCAGCGGCAGGGGGGGGG